TGTACTTTAAAATATCAGATCTCTGTCATCCACAGCAGTGTTAATAAACAAATTAATATCAGATAATCATATTAATTTATTCTGTCTCACTAAAGCCTGGCTGTGTCATGATGATTATCAATTCAGTCAATCAATTTTATTTATAAAGCCCAATATCACAAATCACAATTTCCCTCACAGGGCTTTACAGCATACGACATCCCTCTGTCCTTAGGACCCTCACAGCGGATAAGGAAAAACTCCCCCCAAAAAAACCTTTAACAGGGGAAAAAAATAGGGAGAAACCTCAGGAAGAGCAACTGAGGAGGGATCCCTCTTCCAGGACGGACAGACATGCAATAGATACAATAGAATATGTTAGTCTAAATAAATCCACTACTCCCAGTCATAATGATACTCGCACTCCTTGAGGCAGCAGCTAAGGAGGGGGAGTTGCAGCCATTTTTGACTCTAGTCAATTACCCAACCCTAACCCTAAACTAAATTATAATTCCTTTGAAAGCTTTATCTTTAGTCTTTCACACCTAACCTGGAAAACCTCACAGCCACTTTCTGTTTCTGCCATTATCAAGTTATCATTGTAGGTGATTTTAACATTCATGTTGACATTGATAATGGCTGCCTCACTACTGCATTTATCTCATTATTAGACTCCACTGGCTTCAGTCAGGGTGTACATAAACCCACTCACTGTTTTAACCACACCCTCGATCTTGTTCTTACATATGGAATTAACTCAATAGTCTTTCCACAGAATCCATCTTTATCAGACCATTATTCAATAACTTTTGATTTCTTAATACTCAATTACATGCCACTTGGCAAAAGCTACTATACTAGATTTTTATCCGATAGTGCTGTAGCAAAATTTAAGGAAATTATTTTAGCGGCATTAAATTTATTACCATGTCCCACTGTAACAGAGACTTTCTATACAACTTTAAACTCTCCCAAATTGATTATCTTGATGATAGTGCTCAAGGCTCACTGCTAACAATGCTTGAGTCTATACAGTAGCACCCCTTTAAAAGAAGACAATGAAACAAAGAAAATTAGCTCCGTGGTACAAATCCCAAACCCGTAAATTTGATCAAATATAGTGAAAATTATGGCATTTAACCAAGTTGGAAAAATCTCGTTTAGTCTGGCAAGACAGTCTCCACAATGCCAGAGCAAACTATTACTCAGCACTAATAGAAGAAAATAAGAACAATGCCAAGTTTTTTTCAGCACTGTAGCCAGGCTGACAAAGAATCACAGCTCTGTTGAGCCTTGTATTCCTTTAGCCCTTAGCAGTAATGATTTTATAAGCTTTTTTAATGACAAAATTCTAACTTTAGAGCAAAATTCATGACCTCTTGTCCTCACACAGTACCAATCTACCTTCAATCACAGGGAACTTAAACACAGCTGTAGGACTTGATATATATTTGGATTGCTTCTCTCGGATTACTCTTCAACAACTGACCTCAATGATTGTGAAGAATTCCCTCCATCTCCGCTGACCGCGGCCGTATCAGTGCATTCCTGTTCATTGTGCGCTCTATATAAACTGCCAGGATACGCAGGGCATACTGACTACAGCCGGTTATGAGGAGGAAGCGTCGGAGAGCCGTGACTCATATCCTTATATGTTGTCCATTCTTATATTGACTGATCGATGAGTGATTGCACATGTAAGTCCACCTTTATTGTCTGTTTGTCTCTGGAGACAAGGAGGTTGATTAGTTTCTCTGAAGTTAGTTTGCTATGTGTCGCACTGGCATGCTGCCAGGTTTATTTGCCACGCCACCACTTCCCTAATTCATTCATTAGGTTGTGACGTGGGACACTTGCTTTGTGTTACGGTTTGCATTAGTCAAAAAATTGATTTCCTTTGTTCAGTGAATTAATATTAATGAATGTTAATCGCTGCAGTTATAGCCAATTAATGCATTTTTAGCACCTTGTTTCCAGCCTTTTACACAATGTATTGAGACCACTGTTCAATGTTAATATCACTCATCTGTGCCATTAAGGCTATATTTATGGTGAACGCCTTTGCTTTCAGTCTCTTTTGTTCTACTGTTTTTCAGAAACCATTTATTAGTCAACCCAGCCATCAATCATCAAATTCCTGTCACCTGTTACTTATGGACATCATGTATTGCCTGTGTTGTAACCCCCTGCTCATTTCCATTTTCAATACAAATTCTGAACTATAAAGCTGGACTCTGCCTGTTTTGTATAAGTGAAGCCAGTGAGTGGGATTCAAGTTACCCAGCTAATTACAAATTGTTTTCAATAATTTCTTTATCTAAATCATCAACGTGTCTCTTAGACCCATCCCAACTAGGTAACTTAAAGAAGTCTTACCTTTAGTTAGTTAACACTTCTATATTAGACATGATCAATATGTCTTTATCAACAGGCTATGTACCACAGTCCTTTATGGCAGCTGTAATTAAACCTCTTTTAAAAAAGCCCACCCTGGATCCAGAGGTGTTAACCAACTATAGACCCATATCTAATATTCCCTTTCTTTCAAAGAAAGAAAGCTCTGGCCTCTAGCACAGCTGTAAGAAACCTCTGAGTAATATTTGACCAAGATTCGTCTGTTACCTCCCACATTGAACAAACTTCACAGACTGTGTTTTTTCATCTGCATAATATTGCAAAATTTAGGCCTACCCTGTCTCAAAAAGATGCAGAAAAATTGGTCCACACATTTGTGGCATTCAAGGCTGGATTACTGCAATTCCCTATTATCAGGTTGTTCTAACAAGTCTTTAAAAACTCTCCAGCTGATCCACAATGCGGCAGCCCAATTACTGACAGGAACTAAGAAAAGATATAATATTTCTCTCGTCAAAGCTTCTCTGCACTGTCTGTCCATAAAATCCAGAAATGAGTTTAAAATCCTTCTCCTTACTTACAAAGCTCTAAATGGTCAGGCTCCATCATATCTTAGAGAGCTCATAGCAGAGATGGGACCAAGTCACACATGTGCAAGTCTCAAGTAAGTCTCAAGTCTTAACCTTCAAGTCTCAAGTAAGTCCCAAGTCATTTTTTCTTGGGCAAGTCAAGTCAAGTCAAGTCACAGGTTATGTCAAGTCAAGTCAAGTCAAGTCCTGTAATAGGTCAAGTCAAGTCCAAGTCAAGTCACCTTATTATTGTAATTTTACCTGCAGAATCTGATCTTAATAAAGTGAAAAGACAAGATATAAGTAATTGTCAGTAAACACTGACTTCATCGCTGCAATGTTTACTTTGCAGGGGCGACCCCCATGCGTGCGCGCGCACACACACACACACACACACACACACACACACACAATAACCAAGGCAGCGGCCAAAATCACCCATTTAGCTCATTTAACCCTGTGTTGCTCGTTCATAAAATGTACAGCCGGTCTTGTGATGAACCGGTTGGAATGTTCGCTCACGTTTTCTGGGGTTAATGTTAGCAAATAAATTAAAAAACAAGTTCCACCAAACCAACCCACCCCCCCACCCCACCCCCATATCGTATCAAGTTAACGTTAGCTAACTACCGACTAACCAGATAATATTAGCTAATTGACAAGCACTTACTGGGCAGAATGGCTCTTCAAATGACGAACAAAGTTTGAAGTTGTCGCCTGGCTGTCCGAGATGTTTATGCCACATGTCTTGCACTGTGCTGTTCGTCTTTTGCCGTAATAATGGTAATTCCGAAAGCCGAAGACGATGACTCTCGGTACGCCTCCCGCTGACATGTTGATGCCTATTTGATATAAGAGGGCCTGTTTCTCCAATAAACACGTAAGGTACGTAGAGAGGGCATGACTGATTGACAGGGTAGTGATCCAATCATGACACCATTCTCAGCCTGCGCTCCTACCGGGTAATCGACATCATTAAATTAATTTATTAATTTTATATTCTAACCAAAAACATGATGTGAATAAAACTCAAGTCATTCAAGTCATTGTGTCTCAAGTCAAGTCAAGTCCCGAGTCTTTAACTTCCAAGTCCGAGTCAAGTCTCAAGTCTATTTTTTGTCAAGTCAAGTCACAAGTCATCAAAACAATGACTCGAGTCCCCATCTCTGGCTCATAGTGCCATATTATCCCACTAGAACACTGTACTCTGAGATTACAGGATTACTTGTGGTTCCTTCAGCTATCAGGCTCCTCTTCTGTGGAACCATCTTCCTGTTTCGGTGCAGGAGGCAGACACTGTATCCATATTAAAAAGTAGACCTAATATTGATAAAGCTTATAGTTAGGACTGGCTCAGGCTTGCCCTGGACCAGCCCCTAGTTAGGCTGATATAGGCCTAGTCTGCTGGGGGACCTCCTATGATACACTGAGCCCCTTCTCTCCTTCTCTCTCTCTCAGATTCTGAAAAGTTGGTTCTTCTTCATTTGCTATAACTGCATGACACTAACTTACCCTCTTCGCCAGAGCTTTTGTCCTCCTCTGTCTCATAGGTTCCCTCGAATCATGGTTACGCCTGGATTGTGGATTGTGGTTACACTGCTGACGTGGTCCTGTCTGATGCCGACTGCTACTGCTATTATTATTGTCATACTTCTACTATTATTACACATTTGATTATTATTGTCACATACAGTATCTATACTGTCATATTTTAATATTTAGGTATAACATATTATTATTATTATTATTATTATTATTACTATATTATTACTAAAATCAGTGTTATTGTAGCTATTGTCATTACTGTTTTCCTGCATCTCTCTGTCTCTGTCTCTCTCCGTCTCTCACTGTGGAGATATGGATAATTGTAAATTCATTATGTTGATCTGTTCTGTACACATGACATCTGAGGCAAATTGTGATTTGTGATGTAGGGCTTTATAAATAAAACAAATGAAAAAATAAAATTGAATGTGTGTTTGTGAGGCTGATTATGTGTTAGATGTAAAATGTTTGTATGCATATGCATGATTATGTCTACAGCATGTTCTTAACTCAAATGTGTATCTTTGTCCTTGTGTGTTTGTGCTCTGTAAGGACATAGACCAGTGGGAAAAGTTGAGCAATGTGATTGGAGGCTCATGTTTGCTGCTCTCTGACATGACTTAGAAGTTAAAGGCTCCGCCCCTTCCAGGAGTCAGAGGTCACATCTTAAAACACATTAATGAGACAACAGTCAGTGATTTGATCACCAAGGTAACAGATTTACTGAGGTGGCATTGAGAAAAAGAAACATTGAATGCTGTGTAGGAAAGATAGCAGTACTACTGCTCAGTTCAGCTGTTAAAGTTGGGACACAAATGTATATAAAAACAGAATGAAATAATTTGCAAATCCCTTTTGTACAGAATTCTTTTGAATTCTGTACAAAAACAAGATGTTTAATTGCCACTGATAAACTGTAACGTCTTTTGTAAATTTACGCTTATTCTGAATTTGATGCCTGCAACATGTCACAATAAAATTGGGTCAGGGGCATGTTTACCAATGTGTTACATCATCTTTAAGCAGAACGCAGTAAGTGTTTGGGAACTGAGCAAACTATTGAAGTTTTAAAAGTGAAATTCTTTCCCATTCTTGCTCGATATACGACTTCAGTTCTTCGGTCTTCATTTTTGTGTTTTGCTCTTCATAATGCACCACATATTTTTAATGGGAGACAGGTCTGGACTGCAGGCAGGTCAGTATAGCACCTGCACTCTTACTCACAATTTCACTATGAAGCCAAGCTCTTGGAATATTTGTACAGAATGTGTCTCATTATCTGTCTGCAATAATCAGGGACGTCCAGAGGATACGATGTCCATGAAGGACTGGTCAGACCACAGCACACTTTTCCTCTTTGTTAGTCCATCTCAGATGAGCTCAGGCCCAGAGAAGTGTGCTGTGTTTCTGGATGTTGTTGATATATGGCTTTCACTTTGTATGGTAGAGTCTTAACTTGCATTTGTAGATGCAGCGATGAACTGTGTTTACTAACAGTGGTTTTCCAAAGTGTTCCTGAGTCCATGTATAAATATCCTAAATACAATCATGTCAGTTTTAATGGTAAATGGTAAATGGACCTGCATTTGTATAGCGCCTTTCTACCCAGATAGCACACATACATCTGGCCAAAGTCGGCCTGAGGACGACACATCGGCCCTGAATTTGTAACGTCTGACAAGCGTCGGCCGCATGGGCGGATATCTTTAAATTTAATAATCTTTTGTCCCAGCTCATCAAATGGCTCTGTTACATCAGCTTTGGGTCGGCCCAGTGCCGTAGAATGTCTGCCCATATACGGAAGTCGCCACTGAAGGCGGAATTTCATCTCCGCAGTGTTTGTTTGGAACTGAGCTCGCAGGACACAGCATCTCATCGCAGTTGGTTTCAGGTTAGCTAATTGGAATAAATTGGCAGAAAATAGCTATGTTGTTTCTTCTGTGACCATTAAAAGAGGTTCCTGGTGAGTGGCAAGGCACGACTGGGTGTATATAGCACATGTCCCCACCAGCTAACGTTATCTTTCGTTAGCTGTTAGCTAGTTTAGCGGTTTAGCTCATGTTAGCTAACAGGCTACAGCTGTGGTGTTTTCATTTTATTTTCCTTAGTTGACGTTATCTGCTCATCTGGTTATCGTGAGCACTCCTTTTGGGTTAAAGTGGAAGTGCACGGAGCTGCCACCCATGGTCCCGCGGCCCCCCGGCCTGACCTCTGGGGCCCTGGACAGGTGCTCAAGTGTGGGTGAGAAGAGCGGAGAGGACTACGGAGGTCAAATAGTGAAGTTTAAGGATGCCTTCGGTATGTTGTTAATGTGATTTTATGGGCAGTTTATCAGTCGAGGTCTCCTCCTCTGCAAAGCAAACCGCCCCGGTGGCTACAGGTAATAGCGCAGTTTTGAAACCACTGTTTTTCCCGAGATGAAGGACTGATTGTTGAGCTGCTGTTAACAGTTAACAGAGTTAACGCCGGATCCCGTTATTTAATAGTTTCAGCACTAAATTAAGCAGAGTGACGGACCCAAAGCCTTCAATCTGACTAAAAGAGGATTTGTTTCTTGAAGTTACGTGCTCATCGTCTTTTCTGTGTCTTGCAGGCTGCCAGGAGAAGCGGACTGGCCATCAGATATTGTTTGTGGAAATTTGAAAATAAAGTTTGTCAAATTGACTTTTGTCTCTTCATTGTGCACACTTACACACTAAATAGGGTCAGCTATTTTTGAATGTTAGCATTGATTTCTCACATTGAATGGTGAAATATTTGTAGTTTGAAAGGTCTGACCTAAATGAATAAAGGTTGTAGTTAACGAAGCATATGAATATTAATGAAGGAGCGCCTACTGAGAGCAGCTTTTTTTATTGATCGTTTGAACGTCGCGTGGTGGTCATTTTCGATTAAAGGCCGACGTCTCAACAACGTCTTGGCAATGAGCAAATGCTCTCCCTGCTACATCTTTACGATCTAAACTTGATACATCGGGCCGACATCGGCCAGATTATGCGTGCTATCTGGGTAGTCATCTAGTGACCATTCAAAGCGCTTTTTACACTACGAGTTACGTTCACCCATTCACACACACATTCATACACTGGTGGCCAAGGCTACCATACAAGGTGCCACCTGCTACTCAGTTTTCACACACACACACACACACACACACACACACACACACACACACACACACACACACACCGATGGAACAGCCATTGGGAGCAATTTGGGGTTCAGTATCTTGCTCAAGGATACTTCGACATGCAGCCTGGAGGAGCCCGGGATCGAACCGCTGATCTTTCGATCTTTCGATTGGTGGACGACCCACTCTACCTCTGAGCCACAGCTGCAGTGCCACCTAAGGGGTCAAAGGTCACGGGCATTCAATATTTGTTTCTGGTGTTGCTCCTTCTCTGAATCTCTTGATGATATTATGGAATGTAGATGGTGAAACCTCTAAACTTCTTGCAGTTGTGCATTGAGAAAGGTTTTAAACTTTTTAAAACTGCATTACTAATGCAGTTTTTCCACTATGTGGTGAGCGTGCACCATCATTGCTTGTGAACAACTGAGTTTTTCAGAGGATGTCCCTGTCCCAATCATAATACTGTCACCTGTTAGCAATTAACTTGTTTACCTGTGGAATGTTTCAGGTGTTTTTTAGGAATCCACAACTTTTCCAGTCTTTTGCTGCCACTGTCTGAACTTTGTTGAAACGTGTTGCAGGCACCAGATTCACAAGGAGTGTGTATTTAGACGAAACAATAAAATTTTCAGTTTGAACATTAACTTAAACATTAATCTTGTCTTTGAACTGTATTCAACTTAATATAGATCAAAAAGGATTTGCAAATTATTGCAATCTGCTAAGGTTTATGTTTTACACTGCATCCCGACTTTTTTGGAACCAGGTTGTTATAGATTTAATGCCTGTGGCTTAAGAACAGATAATATTATCCTGGCCTTCCTCCTGGCTAAAAATTCCATTTCCAGACACACTGATGTGAACAAATACTCTTATTTTCACTGAAATATTAAATACTTTGTTTCTGTCCCAGCACTCACTAACCACCCAGCCAAGAGTATGAGTTGTTTTGTTTGCATCATGTTGTGTTCACACCGGGTTCAAGCATTCAAACTTGAACACAAAATTTGCATCACGCCCAGTGTGAACACAACATAACAGTGTTTGCCATCCACTCCACACAGATCAGAGACATTTATGTCAGGGTATTGACCATTTGTGGCAAATGCTTTTACAGTTAGATTTGGCAAAAAAGGTTTCTAATGCTAATTATGTCTTTGTTTCTACACTAGGATCAGTGTTAATGGGAAAAACATGCAGTGAGCCCTGCAGTGATGACTCTTTGTCAGATATAGTAAGTGTTATTACCTCTCTGTCATTTTGTGTTTCCAGCATCGTGTCATTTATCTAATCAGAGAACAGTATGGCATTTCTTCACCACATTATGTGGACAAGTGTTGAAGTGCTAAATATTATGAAAAGATCCATGTAAAGCTTAATTGTAAGTTTCAGCCCAACACTTCACTGCTTTGGTTCACTGTCACTGCTCTCATAGCGTTGTTTCTGGCTGCAGCAGGCAGCTATTTTCAACACAAATACTTTAAAACACACTTTCTGTTCAGCAGCGAACAGCGGACAAAGTTGAGGCTAGCTGATGAACACAGAGGAGCATTTAGCAGTTAGAGAGTCAGACATTTCCCTCAGGAGTTGGCAGAATCCAAAAGGAGAGAGAATATTGGACTTACATGTACAGCTGACCAGAAACTCAGTTCCAAATGAATTATAATGTTGCTCAGTTACTGCTGGATGTGTAAATAAACAAGTGTTTGTTAACAAGTTGATATCAACTTGACACCAACACATTCTCACTCCAGACTCATCGAATACTGATGCTTGGTCAGTGGCACGTCGCGTCAAGATATGAAGAGCTAGGTACCCTCTTGCGTCAATTTTGAGCATTTAGGGATGGGGTGTTAATTTACCCTTGTTACATGCATTGTATCTTTCAAAATAAACTTCCATATCCACCGGACATTTACAGTTTCTGCTTGTTAGATGCATACAGTGTTTTTAAAAATAAACTAAAAATTATTTTTTGGGTTTAATTCCTGATGTGTGAGTGTAAGCAGAGATGATAGTAGAATGTTTCAGGTCATCTCTTCACAGCTGACCTCATCATCATCTTTCCAGAGTGGAAGAGAGATCCACAGAAAGCACTGTAACTAACATTTACTACTTATAATAATTGTGGAATAAAACCTACCAATCAACAAACAAGTTAACAAACTTGGAAAAGCTGACCTAATGCAGGTCAGTGCTCACTTGAAACATGTGGCAAAAAGCAGTTTTATTGATTGTGTAACCCACTTGGCACATGTGCCACCAAGTTTATAAACAGATAAAGTGCCTAGATTCTAAGAGGAGTGTGCAACAAATGAGTGAAGTGCACAATGACATTACTTAATCCTTACCTTAATAACTAACAGCAACAACCTGATACCTTTATGTCTTATTTCCATTCAGATAGAACAATAACCTTGCATATGTTTATTCACTACACCTTCCATTTTGTCACAGGAATCATTGAACTCGTATTCCTCCACGGCATTAAAGAAAATTGCACCCACAACCAAAAATGATACAGAATTCCAACTATTGACGAATTAACAGTGCGATTTCACAGAAAAGCTTAATATGGCTAACTGAATTATTCAGTGTGGCAGTCAAAATTAGCTTGGGAAATTTGGTTAAAACCCAGTGTCCTTGAACCACAATTTAAAATGTTGAAACCCATCAAGAATAACAACAAAAAATAATAATAAAACTGAGATACTGAAGTAAAACATTCTATATTTTTCACAAGAATAACCAAGGGAGTATAAAATCATGTTTGTCCAATTCTGTTTCATGAGCTTTTGATTGCACTCAACTTCCTACCAGCGCCCTTAGCAGTGAAAACTGTCCATCCTAGCTCCCAAGAGAATGAAGATAAAGATTGTTAAGTCTGATGAATAGCAGGGTTCCCACAGTCATGAAAAACCTGGAAAAGTCATGGAATTTCATAATTACATTTTCCAGGCCTGGAAAACTCATGGAATTAGTAAAAATCATCAAAGTTTTTTTTTGTTGAAAAAAAAAGGTCTGATAGGTGGTTTCTCGCATGTAGATTAGACAGGGTATTTTATCAGTTTGTTTTTGTTGATGATTTGTCAGTGCATTTAGAGTAGAAATCCAACATTACAATATTTATTTTCTGTTTGGAACATAGTTGCATTCTGAATGGATTAGACATAATCCTCTCTGCCCAGCTTAATGAACTAGTTCACTGTTAAAGTGACACAACAAATTGACAGAAAATATAGAAAACTTGGACTGTCTTCCCTAAATTAGCCAAACAACTAGCTTCTTTCTAAATGCATGACATGCAACAATTTCAAGGGAAACCATGCCATTGGTAGCTTCATCAGATTAACAGCAACAATTCTTAAAGTAAGCAACAAATTAAGGTAAACAACAACCAGAGTGCCAATTCATTGTTCAGATAGCCAGCTAGCAGCTAACTTAAGCATCTTTTCCACTGCACAAAAAACTTGCTAACGTCTGGCTTTTTAATGTAATGGGAAAGGTTACAATCAGTATTAACACATGGGTCAAATGACTGCAGTAGTCTCAGTATTTATCAACTCCAGCTCTAATTGGCATTGACAGAAACACAACACCCAGGTGAACATGCTAATTTTAGCTCCTTTCCTAGCAGGATGCAATGACGTGCCACCTCAAAATAACGTCCGTCTCTGCCCAGGCAGCACTCAAACATCGTTTCAAATTAATCTGTACCGAGTGTGAAAGAGAGACTGAATGTACTTCTGGTATGGCGCAGAAGTGAGTAGCAGCATAAGCCAGAGGCTCCCAGACGGTCTTACTCTCCCATGAAAAAGTACTGGATGGATAGGATGAAAAGCTGTTTATTGTAGTATGAAAGAGGGAAAAAAAGAAGTTAGCCAGAAGCTAAATGCTATTGTCGCTGATTTAAAAGAAATAAAGGATAGAGTCAGGGGAGGATCATCAAAATGTATGCCCCTGGGCACAAGTCTGACATGCCCCCACACAATTCCTTGCCGGCCAAACATATGTCACATAATCATAACAAAAACTTCGCAATTTAGGTATAGTTAGACACACGCTTGTCTCTCCCTTTCCTTTTCTCTCCTTGTTAGATGGCGAGCCACAGTTAAGGATTGCTGTTTGAGGCGTAAGGTAATGGATAGCTGCTAAATTTGTAGAATTTAATAAAATGTAATAAAGACTATTGTTTGACAGTGGACTTAGAACTTGGCACATGTGTCACAGCTCTCCTCTGCTGGGTCTCTGTGTCTGTCTGCCTGTCTGTCTCCACTTCTCCACTCTCTCCTCTGCTGGGCCTCTGTGTCTGTTTGTCTCCACTTCTGTCTTCTGATTATAAAATGTTGCAAATAACAACATGGGCCAATCAATGTAAACTAATGTCCCATTTTAAAGATGACACAGTAGATCATGTCTGCATTTACATGTTATGTCTAATGTAGTTTGTACTGTCAGACACACAGTCAGACATATACCTGTCCTCTCCTCTCTCTCTCCTCTCCTGTCCTGTCCTCGCTCTCTGTGTCTGTCTGTCTGTCTGTCTCCACTTCTCCCTTCCAATTATAAAACACACTGCACAACCGCCGGGCAGGGTTCTGTGACTGTGGTGAACCATGATTTACCTGACTGGCTGCCCCTTGGACTGTGCCCCCTGGGCACTTCCATGCCCCCAGACACATGCCCAGTTTGCCCGTATGATAATCCGCCCATGGATAGAGTTGAGGAGATGGAGCAGAGAGTGGCCGACATGGAGGAGTGGAGTCCCTTACGAAACAAAAATATATTGCAATATATTGGAAAATATCATGTGATGTATTAGGCAATATATTTCCATATATGGGATTTAATATTTATATTTTCCAATATATTGCAATATATGCATAGATCATACATGTGTATATACTGATACATATAAAAAAATATATTGCGATCAAGACCAAAAAGGCACTATATTTTTACATGTAATATATGCTTTAATATACTGCAATCTATGCATGTGCCT